CATCTGGCATGAATTCACAAGCCGCTCACCTTTTTAGAAGATGGGCAGTCAGTATGTAGAGTCAGGCCAGATCGAAAGGTAAGTAGGAGTGAATCAAATTGTATTATCTCCGAAAAGAACTTAGGAACCGGTATCCGTGATTCGACAAAATTATATAATACAGAATTCATGCTACTAGAAAATACATTTAGTCCCCACAATTTTTAAAACTTACCATGGTTCATACATTACTCACCAGATGGATGCCATCCCCACACTTGGCAGTGACTCACATTCCACATTACTCGGAATGTGGAGATGGTCCAAGGTGCCTTCATTCCCATTTCATAATTAGTTTTCTCTGAATCTTTTAGGAGTGTACTTATGCGATGGTTGTTCATTAGTTAAATAGTTTATTGTATAACTTGTACTATTTTTGTTAGGTTTGTAATTCATGACTTTTGACTTTATTAAATTTTAACTTTTGTCATTGTTAGACTATTTTCCATTAAAAATGATCTGTTATTAATAGAAAAAAAAGTAAAATTTTGGACCACTGCACTGTTTTTATTTTGAGGTAATATTTAGATTTTTTTTCCTGTTTATTTTAAAATTGTTTATCCTGATTACTTCTTCATGTTCATTTTAGACACTGTTGTAGGGAATTTCGAAATCACAAAATCACTGCCTTCAAAAAGGTTATATTGTTGTAGAAGTAGGCAAAAAAGCAAATAAATAAATTGAGAGTAGAGGAGAAGGTTAATTTTAAATAGGATGGCCAGGGAAGGACTCACCCAAAATTTAAGCAGAGGCCAGGTAGCAGAAGCTTCTGGATTGTCACCCCATTTCCTTTCTGCACACATGTCTGTTTAGTTACAGGCTACCTTTTCTAATCACCCTGGTAACTGTATGTGACTATTTGCAGTGAAATATCACTGGAAGTAATCCATGTGATTTCCACTGCACTTTATTTGTTTAAATAAATCCTTTGACTTTTATCTCTTTCTTCTTGTTCATCCATGAAGGTGGCAACGATGCAGAATGAAAATGGAAGAAAGAAGCATCTCTCAACAATGACGTGGAACAATGATGTGCTTACAGATGGAAGAATGTAAATGAGGCAGATACAAACATCTACTCATTTAATATATTTTACTTAGGATCTCTTTGTCATAAAACCTTAGCCTTTGCCCAAATAACACAGGACTAAGAAGTAAAGCTGGAAGATGGGAATATTTGGGAACAAGTTCTTTGGAAAGGGACTAACCTCATCATGAAATCCCCATCCCTATGGCCTCATCTAAACTTAATTACCACCCTAGGGCCCATCTCCAACACCGTCACACTGGGAGCTAGGGTTTCAACATATGAATTTTAGGGAGACATTCAGTTCGTAGCACCATGTGTTACTTAACATAATGTTTTATACATAGTAGTTTCTCAGTAAATACTTGTTGAACTGAATTGTGATAGAAAAACTTTCAAAAAAGAAATTGGAGATAATGGTGGTAATGACAATTTTTCTGACTTTCAGCTTCCTTCTACATCAGCTCTACACAGAGAGAGAGAGAAGAACTTTTAGTCTAAGGAGTCTCTAGTAGGAAGGCAACCCATCATCACACCTAACAGGTAAAGAAAGGACCCTGGGAAAGCAATTTAAAAATCATGTTTGAGGGGCACTTGAGTGGCTCAGTTGGTTGGGTATCTCCCTTTGGCTTGGGTCATGGTCTCAGGGTCCTCGGAGTCCATACTGGGCTCCCTTCCCTACTCAGTGGGGAGCCTACTTCTCCCTCTCCCTGCTGCTTCCCCTGCTTCTTCTCACTCTCTCTCTCTCTCTCTGTTGAATAAATAAATAGAATCTTAAAAAAATAATAAAAAATAAAAATCATGTTTGAATAAGCTATAATATTTTGCAGAACAATTCAATGATTTCTTTAGAAAAGTAGACCTTACCTTTGGAAAGATGGTTATGATAAAAAAAAAACATATTTATAATGGAAAGTAAGAGAAGTTAAATAATAACAGTTTTGAAACAATTTCTTAAATCTATGTAAATAAGCTCAGGTTTTGTCTATTCTGGCAAAACGCCATGCAGACTTAACTAACTTGCAATTATAAGTCATATCACTACTTGTATTATTCAGTATTGAAAGCCCTTTTTCCTTCCTAATTGTATAGATCATTATTCTGTCTTATTCTTCATTGTATTCTCAAATAAATCTATAAAAGAACTCATTATTTTGTAGTGCAAATCTAAATATTAAAAGAAGTTATAACATTGTATGGTAAGTATTTAAAGCGAGAAAGGAAAATATAACTCTCCCAGGAGAATTAGGTCATTATATGACAAATCCTGTGATAGCCAGAGACCTACAAATTTTCTTCAAAACATAGGGGCTACAATCTAATAGCCTCACTAAACTGTACACCTACAAACACCTTACTAAATTCATCACGATATTGCAAAGATACTATACTATCCAGGTTATAGGAACATAAAAGCTACCTTGGAAGTAACCATATATTAAATACAAGGCAAGAAAGAACAAGGATATGGGCTCAGATGGAAGGAGATTGTATAAATATGAATAGTACTGTATTTAAACTATAAGCCATGTTGAAATGATATTCAATGTCTGCTCTATTTCAAAGATAAAACAGACAGGATCACTGCATTTGAGTATAGCCAGAAGAAATGATTGCAGTCAAGAAGGTGGGGATTTTTGATGAAAAACATCTGATTGGGTTTCCTTCCATGTCCTGTCCCCAGTGGGTTGGCTCTTGCTGCCAAATGAGAGCTGAGTCATTGGATACTAATACTGTTGATACGGGATTCTACAAATTTGGCTTTGGTTTCTGCCTTCCAGTGTCTCTTGATTCCCAGAAAAGAAGGTAAATTATTACAAATCTCAAAAACTTAATGGTTATTCCATACTGATGTGCTCTGACTCTGAGATTGTTGACACATACACTTAAGACTTATAAAACACTGATGTATAAATCAGTATGGCAAATCATAACCTTGTAGCATGAATTCAGCACTTTGGTATGGTGGTGGAAATATGCGCTCTAGAGACAGACTGCCTGGGTTGAAGCTCCAGCTGGACAATTTACTAGCAAGTTATTTAAGACCCTGTGTCTCAATTTCCAAATCTATAAACAATGGAAATAATAGCACCTATCTCATGCCCTTGTGTGTGAATGAGCTAACATCTATAAAACACTATTTACAGTGTTAGGCACAGAGTATATATATATAATAGGTTGGCACATAGCGATTTTAGAATTGTGAGAAATGAATGTAAATTATTAGTGTTAATAATAGAGCAATGCCTAGAAAACTAAAATTAAGTAAACTGGTTCATCTGTTTTCTGTAGTCAAATTCACTGGGAAGAGTTTGAAAATTGTTATGTTTTTGTTTGTTGAATAAAGTCATATAAAACACTTGAGCTAACTCCCTCTACTATAAGGAAAATGTCTCTACATAAATTGGCATTTTTGTCTCTAATTATTGAAAAAGACATCAGTGTTTCCAGATATTGAAAAAATAAAACTGATATTATTTCCCCCATTTTAAAAAAGAGTTCTTTTTTAAAAAATTTTATTATATTATGTTAATCACCATACATAACATCATTAGTTTTTGATGTAGTGTTCCATGATTCATTGTTTGCGTATAACACCCAGTGCTCCATTCCGTACTTGCCCTCTTTAAAACCCATCACCGGGCTAAACCAGCCCCCACCACCCTACCCTCTAGAACTCCCAGTTTGTTTCTTGGAGTCCATAGTCTCTCATGGTTTGTCTCCCCCTCCAATTCCCTCCCTTCATTTTTCCCTTCCTGCTATCTTCTTCTTCTTCTTTTTTTTTTTTTTTAACATATAATATATTACTTGTTTCAGAGGTACAGGTCTGTGATTCAACAGTCTTACACAATTCACAGTGCTCACCATAGCACATACCCTCCCCAATGTCTATCATCCAGCCACCCCATCCCTCCCACCCCCCACCACTCCAGCAACCCTCAGTTTGTTTCCTGAGATTAAGAATTCCTCATATCAGTGAGAACATATGATACATGTCTTTCTCTGATTAACTTATTTCACTCAGCATAATACCCTCCAGTTCCATCCACGTTGTTGCAAATGGCAAGATTTCATTCCTTTCGATGGCTGCGTAATATTCCATTGTATATATATACCACATCTTCTTTATCCATTCATCTGTTGATAGACATCTTGGCTCTTCCCATAGTTTGCCTATTGTGGACATTGCTGCTATAAACATTGGGGTGCACGTAACCCTTCGGATCCCTACATTTGTATCTTTGGGATAAATACCCGGTAGTGCAATTGCTGGGTCGTAGGATAGCTCTATTTTCAACTTTTTGAGGAACCTCCATACTGTTTTCCAGAGTGGCTGCACCAGCTTGCATTCCCACCAACAGTGTAGGAGGGTTCCCCTTTCTCCGCATCCCCGCCAACATCTGTTGTTTCCTGACTTGTTAACTTTAGCCATTCTGACTGGTGTGAGATGGTATCTCATTGAGGTTTTGATTTGGATTTCTCTGATGCCGAGCAATGTTGAGCACTTTTTCATGTGTCTGTTGGCCATTTGGATGTCTTCTTCAGAAAAATGTCTGTTCTTGTCTTCTGCCCATTTCTTGATTGGATCATTTATTCTTTGGGTGTTGAGTTTGATAAGTTCTTTATAGATTTTGGATACTAGCCCTTTATCTGATATGTCATTTGCAAATATCTTCTCGCATTCTGTCGGTTGTCTTTTGGTTTTGTTGACTGTTTCTTTTGCTCTGCAAAAGCTTTTTATGTTGATGAAGTTCCAATAGTTCATTTTTGCCCTTGCTTCCCTTGCCTTTGGCAATGTTTCTAGGAGGAGGTTGCTGTGGCTGAGGTTGAAGAGGTTGCTGCCTGTGTTCTCCTTTAGGATTTTGATGGACTCCTGTCTCACATTGAGGTCTTTCAACCATTTTGAGTCTATTTTTGTGTGTGGTGTAAGGAAATGGTCCAGTTTCATTCTTCTGCACGTGGCTGTCCAATTTTCCCAACACCATTTGTTGAAGAGACTGTCTTTGTTCCATTGGACATTCTTTCCTGCTTTGTCAAAGATGAGTTGACCATAGAGTTGAGGGTCCATTTCTGGGCTCTCTATTCTGTTCCATTGATCTATGTGTCTGTTTTTGTGCCAGTACCATACTGTCTTGATGATGGCAGCTTTGTAATAGAGCTGGAAGTCCGGAATTGTGATGCCGCCAGCTTTGCTTTTCTTTTTCAACATTCCTCTGGCTATTCGGTGTCTTTTCTGGTTCCATACAAATTTTAGGATTAAGAAACCCTCTTCTATTTACATATTGTTACATGTTTAAAACTTCCAAGCCTGGGATTTCTATAGACTGGCAGGCTTTGTGATATTGGGTCATATTATAGAATGACTTCTGTGAGGATGAATTGGATATTACTATTCAATCTACTCCATACATTGCACACTATTTGCTTTATAATCGTGTTTACCATAAAGTACTTACCAAAAATATAAATGGCTTAATGCACAGTGCAGGCTTAGTCATTCCAACAAATCCTTTATAGCTTTTAAAGATTCCCTTGTTAATGAACCCTTCACGCATTGCTAAATGTAGATATTTGAATTGATGAGGCATCAATTAATGATCCCATTCAAAATTCTTGCACCTGGGTAATCAAAAATTTTCTTTTTGGGCACCCGGGTTCTGTGCACCCCTCCTATGTTGGAGACCCCAACCTTCAAGGCACTCCTGCTTTGTGGAGTATGAAGAGAACCTGAACATGTCAAAGTCTGGCTTCCCCAGCCTTCCTTATAAGACGCTGCCAGCCTGAGACACGGGTTCTGTAGCTCAGAAACCACTCCCTGATGGGGCAAAACCGGGTCCGGCTGGGGAGAAGGAATGATGCAGTACCCACTCTGGCCACGGGGAGGGGCGCAGGTACAACAGTGGTGGCTCCTTCCAGGGGCGACAAAGACTGCAATTCCCACAGGGGCACCGAGCTCCCAGAGCTGCCAGAGTGCATGGGGCCAGCCCCTGGGACTGTGCCATTTGGTCACAGCAGCATGAAGACACCCGCTCTGTGCTGTGACATTGGACATGGTTCCTCACTCTCCCTCGAGGCTTAGATCTCCTGCCCTCCTAGATTCTGTGAACTATGCAAAATTCTGGTAACAAATCTCATGTCTTCCTTAAAATAGTGAGGCTCTGCTTGCATTGCTGCCAGTCAAGAACCCTCACTAATACATGAGCTGCAGAATGTGCCTTACGGAAAGCCTCCTGAGTGCAATCTCTTCTCACCTGGGCAGGTGATTCATCGCACTCTCTTCATCATGACTCATCTCAATGGTATGGGGAATGTATACTTCTCCACATTTTGGTATTTATCAAAGTTACACATTCTTGTCTCAGACTTCGTTCTGCTAGGAGCCTTATTATTAATTAAGCTTTCTGGTTATTCTCATACAAGAAAGGAATCCTCTAGATGCATGCACTCAGGTTATTCTCTTTCATATTCTCCAACTGCCTATAGAGAATTGTGTAAAACAATCTCCCCAGAATAAATCAAGTCCAAGGTACTTAAAAGACTAAAGGGCCCTAGGACATCCCTGCTTGTCCAGGAAGTAATTCTTCTGGGGTCGGATTGCCTATTGATGGCTCCTTGCAAACCTCACCAGAACTATTTCCTGCCTCTGATTTGCCTTATCATTCTGGTCTGTTCTACACAAATATTGAGATTTATGACTGTGTTGCTATAGCTAATAGTCACTATGATATCATGACTTTCCATTTATCAGATGGCTGGGTGGCTTTGATGGATATGATTCCCTGATGAGAAGTGATGGAGTATTTCCTCTCAGAAAATACCAAGCCCACAGCTGAAGCCTTCTCTGCTGAGAGCAGGGCCTGGTGTCCTAAGTGTCTCCTCTAAAAAGACCTTCTAAGCATTCAGCAAAATGGACGAAAATAGAACCATATCATTTATACTATTTCATAATACTGTAAGCAATGGAAAGGATATGCAAGCTTCCCCCAGACAAGGAAAGAAAAAGGGTTAATGAAAATTTTAAAGAATCAGAATGGATTCAATATTCCAAGTACAGAAATTTCTGTATTTCTTTCTTCTAAGAAAGAGATCTAATGACAAATTATTTCTAACCAAAGTTGTCCAACAAGCCAATAAGCAGAGCTGGAAGATCTGGGAAACTTTTTTTATAAAAAAGGAAATAGAATATTTAATTCATGTGAAGAAATTAAAAGATTTTCACAAGTGAAATTAAATTTGATGCTGAACTCGCAATAAATAAACAGGAAACTAAATATGCAAACATACTACAGCCATCACAGAGCAAGACAAGAAGTAGTTTCAGACAAAATGCATGCTTGTGCAGGATAGAAAAAGCAGAAAGGGACTTCTGTCCAGCAAAGGTGGAACGATTTCAGAGAAAAAAACTACTTCGTACTGTATGCTGGTAGGCAGGACCTTCTACAGTTACACTGAATTTCCTCTACCTCAAGGGCCCAGAAGAAGCCAGATGATCTGTGTGTGCATGAAAAGATGATCTGTGTGTGCACAGAGTAGCAGAAGGAGCCACCACCCTGGAGGTGGACATGCGGTGGGGGCGTGGAAAGAGTGTGTAGGGTCCAGGTGGAGTGTTGACAGCAGTCTTGACAAGGTGTTGGGTGGAGAGATGCCCAGATGATCCCAACACCAGACGTCTACAGCCTCTGTACTCGCCATGCAGTGGTGGTGTTTGAGGACTTGTTTGAAACCCTAAGAAAATGGGAACGGAGATGAAGTTTATGCTTATCCAGAAAAAAAGACTTAGTGTATAAATTAACAGGTTTATTAAAACTAGTTATATTTATATGTGTAACATGCCGACTGTGTTTATATATATATATATACAAACACATACATGCATACTATATTGTATATATAATATGTTTATTTATGTGTTTATATATACATACACACACATACATGCATACTATATTGTATATATAATGTTTATTTATGTGTTTATATATACATACACACACACATGCATACTATATTGTATATATAATATGTTTATATATATGTTTATATATATACACACACATACATGCATACTATATTGTATATATAATATGTTTATATATATGTTTATATATATACACACATACATGCATACTATATTGTATATATAATATGTTTATATATATGTTTATTTATGTGTTTATATATGCATACACACATACATGCATACTATATTGTATATATAATATGTTTATATATATGTTTATATGTTTATATATACGCACATACATGCATACTATATTGTATATATAATATGTTTATATATGTTTATTTATATGTTTATATATACACACATACATGCATACTATATTGTATATATACTATACATGTATGCATGTGTTATGTCTGATATATATTCATACTACATATATACATAATGCATATATATGTGTTTGAGGGAAGATACACAGTGAGAAGAGGCTCATTGGTGCAACAGGAAGCAGACTCTCCCCAGATATCAGATTGGTGGCACTTTGATGTTGGCCTTCCCAGTCTCCAGAACTGTAGGAAATTAAATGCCATGGACTGTCACCCAGTCTGTGGCATTTTTGGTACAGCCACCCAATGGACTGAGACACGTATATTCAATATTCCTTTGATTTTGTGATTATATATTTAAACACTAAATGTCAAAAGATGTGAGATCAACTTATTTTAATCTCCAAAAGACTATTAGCACAAATTAAAAATAAATTGTGATAATTACATTGTACCATCCGAAAACATAGACAAGTCTTAGAAATGTGTCCCTACTTAAGCAGAAAATGTATGAAATTGCTAAAATACAACTCAAAATGTCCAGGAAAACAAATCCTATAATAAATTTGCCTAACTATTTGTAAAGATATTTTAAAGTGACTTCAAGGACATATTTCTTTGGGAACAATTTGCAATGATTTTAAAATAGTACAATTATAATTAGACCCTGAAATATTTTTCTAAAATCTTAGCATGAGGAAGAAGAATGCAAAAAGGTATCAAGTCCAACCTTCTCACTTTGTTATGTATTTTTTCTTAGAGCTGTAATATTTTGCTTGTAACACAAGTATTAGCCTGCATCAACTCAGCCTTGATCTCGTCATTGTCCATTTGCCAAGTGATCCCATGCTCGCTGGGCTTCACTGTGACCCTCATTAAAATGTCACTGTTCACCTGTGTGTATCTAAAATCTCTCTAACACAAATTGGAATCAATAGCACCTCACTCCTTTGGAACCCAGGGTTCTTGTAAATTCTCGAATCCATGTTTAAATCACAAATATAAACGAATCAGTAAAACAATACTATCAAGCTAGAAGAATGTGACAGGGCGCTCCAAAGTGCAGTACCAGACTTAAAGCCAAAGCTTTTCAGAATATGATTTATGGACTTCCATCAAGCCTCTGACTGAAGAGTATGGTGTAGCCGCTATGAGTCCAGAAGGATGCAAAATAGAGAAGCCTGAATATTTAAGGGTAGGCGTTGCCATGTTCACCTGATCCTAAGTTCTTTCTTCACATGATTCTAAAATTTCATGTTGAATGAGTATGGGAGAGTTTTTATATACCAAAGCTACCAAAATTTCCATTGTCCCTTCTACTTTTTCTTAATCCATTTATTCTCCAGTGCTTTGGATGATGATTTTGTATTTTGTCTTCTCTATTCAAACGCCTAACTCCTCCTCACCTAAGTTCATTCTCACACATGACTATTTCTTGCTTCACTGAGAAAATAGGAGCAATGAGAAGAGATGATCTATAGGCTCCTGACATCACCATACCCAGTTACGAGGCTCCCTCTCCATGAATTCTGCCCTCAATCCTGTTCATCTAGATGCATTTTCTGCCACTGTCTACAATTAGGCTTGTACACTAAATACCATTGCCTCCCACTTTCCAAGCATAAAAGTCCAGAAATTGCCTCCATTATCTCATGCATAATCACTTTTTCTCAGTCAGCTGACTCATTATCTTCAGCAACAACAACAAAAATTCTGATCTTGAAAAAACCTCTTTTGCTTCCCATGTCTCCCTTTAGAAACCTCCCCACTTCTCCACCCTCATTCACTGTAAAGCTTCTAAAAGGGTGCACTTACTGTCTTCAATTCCTCTCCTTCTATTTTCTCTTTAATCCATTTAAACCAACTTTGTTCCTACTATTTCACCAAAACTTATCATGGAAAGATCTATGGCTTCCATCTTACAAAATCAAAGGGTGTATTCTGAGCTGTCATATTAATTGACCTGAGAGTAGCATTGGAAGCCATGAATCCCTTAGCCCTCTGAGAAATTCTTTCTTACCTTGTTCCAAAATGCCACACTCTGCTGATTTTGCTCCTCTATCTCCATTGATCCTTCCACGTCTTCTTTGCTTGTTCTTCGTTTATCCCTATCCACTAAACATTGGGATGTCCCAGATCTAGTAACTTTCCCACACACTTACTCTATTCTTTATCTTCTGTAATCTGATGATTTTAAATAATATGCAAACAACCTCTAAATTTATGTGTAGTACCTGAGTTTCTCCCTTAAACTTCAGGCTCAACCATGCAAGGGTACACTCAACATCACTACTGGGATTGGCATAATCCACATCTGAAAACTTTTTTAATTGAATTAATCATCCCAATTCCCTGTCTGTCCAGTTAATAGCATCTCTATACCAAAATCAAAGGTAACTACATTCTCTTATTGCTATGAAACTATATCAAGATTCACCTTCTAACCCCCTCCATGCTACTACTCTGGACCAAACTGCAAATAACTCTTGCCTATTTTTATTTTCTAGAAAAGATCCTTGCTTCCTTCTTTACTCTCCTATAATCTATTCTTAAAGCGAAGCTAGAGTGATCTTTTAAAAACATGTCAGACTATGCTCCTTTGCTCAAAACTCTCCCATGGTTTTTCATCTCATTAAGAGTAAAAGTCAAGTTTTTGTGATGGCTTATAAAGCCCTACATAGCTGAACCTCTACAGTTTCTCTGACTCATCTGCTCCTATTCACCCCTTGCTTACTTCACTCCAGCTACACAGAATTCTTTGCTCTTTTGTACCTGGATACTTGCCCCCAGATAATCTGTATGATCACTCTCTCATCCTCTTTAGGTTTTTGCCCACAAGCTACCATATCAATGAAACCTGATTTTCCAACTTGTTTACATCAACACACACACACACACACACAGCCTCTATACTTCCTATATTCCTTTGTACTTTATATTTCTTGATAGAAATTTTCATCATCTGAAACATATCATTATTACTTATTTCATTAGCAACTCCCCCACCTCAGTGGAACACAACTCCATGAGGTCATAGAACATTTGTTGGATGAGTGAATGAAAAGCAGTTGGTAAAATGATGGTGCATTTTAGAGTCAAGAGCACTTCAGAATAGAGGAAATATGGCAAATCCTACATTTTAAGTGTAGGCTTTTGAGATTATTTTTGAACGAGTTAGGGACATAATTGCAAATATTCACATTACAGTGAAAGTGCATCTTATTATAAATAACTGCCTCTAATCTCAGCTCAGCCCTCAATGGCATTCAAACATATCTCTTATAACCTTGGTCACATCTCGATTATTTTCTCTGGAGCAGCTATTCTTAATACTGGTCCTGTTAATTCACTTACATTTCTTAAATCACCTCACTCTCAGTAGATAATCCCGTCTTTTACTTCAAAAAGTCATTAAAAGCGAAAACACCCTGGCAGCCTGAAGTTCTGCCTTGTACAGAAGCTGGTTTGAGACATAAAGTCTACAGGGTGGGAGGGGAGCATGGGCAAGAGACAGAGAGGGAGTTCTGATTATATTTTTGTTTTCTTTCTAGTTCTGTGCAAGGGACATACCACACACCTGTCATCCCCAGAGTTTCAACCAAACATTTCTTCCTTCATAGTACCAGTATTGACTCATGGATATTTATGATAAATTCTGGGTTATAATCCAATTATACTTCATTTTCTGTTCAAATTGTTCCAGGTTTGGCCATTAGTAATGCTTTCATCTGTCTCCTGTGTTCCACTGACATTATTGTGGGTTGGTGTTTTTTGTTGTCATTCATTTGCTTGTTGGTTTCTTACTTTGGGGCACTATAATATGCTCCAGACTTATATATCCTTCACCCCATCCTGGAATTAGTCATTTCTCTGAAGAGTCTTCATTCCGATTCTGCAAGAATGGTATGACAAACCAAGATCTGGGTGATCTCAGCTGACAGAGAAAGGGAATATATGTATGTATAATGCCCTGTGTGTGTACCATTATCCATAAATGTGTCTATATGTAACCATCTTTACATATATTAAGCTTCCTGTGAGTTTATACTGATGTGTCCAACTCTAATCCATAACCACAGGGATCATTCCAGCCTTCTTTCTGGCTTACCTCTTATCTTCCATTCCAACACTGAGAAATCTGGTTCCTATCATCCTTCATCCATTTATATATTGTTCAGTTCCAGAATACATGTATAGCAATTTAAGAATTGCTTTCCATGCTCCAATGGAAAACAAATTTGCTAACCAGAGTTATTAGAGTAATTCTGTGTCTTAGGTTTCTTCTCTGTAAAATGGGATAGCAACCATATCTACTGCACACGATAATTGCAAGTGTTACAGAATAAATACATGTAAATTACTCAGTAAAGAGCCTGTCATATATCGAGTATCCCGTAGTTGTTGGCATTTGTTGTTTTGTTACTATTAATTATTAGGACATGTGTTTTCTAGCCCTGACTATTGTATACTAGCTGGGTAACCTTGACTAAATCACTAACTTCTTAAAAATATAAGTATCTTTATTGTTAAAAATGTGGGCAGTACAAAAAGTCTTTCAAAGTTGATATAAAATAAGCCAGAGCTTATTTACATAAGAACATTGAAACGGGTCCTGGGTGGCTTAGTCAGCTAAGCATTTGAGTCTTAGGTTAGGTCATGGTCATGGGTTCGTGAGATTGAGCCCCACATTGCACTCTGCCCTCAGCATCCCCACTGCTTCTCCTCCTCCCCTTCCTGTCTGCTTCTCTCCCTCTCCCTCTGCCCTTCCCACTGCTCATGTGCTCTCTCTCTCTCTCATAAATGGATAAATCTTTTTTAAAAAAGAACGTTGTATATTCTACATGTTAGTTATAAAATTGTATACATACATCTCTACCTATCAACCTATACCTATCTTTATGTCTGTATCTATACAACAATTTTCAGATATTTTAGTAATTGGTAAAATTGCCGCATTTTGGGGGGTAATGAATTCACAGCCTATTTTTTTAAGAATTTTTTTGTTCATTTGAAATCAATGCCACATTTTGGGGAGTAATGAATTCACAGCCTATTTTTTAAGAATTTCTTTGTTCATTAACTAAATACACCTTTGTCTTAGTTTTCCTTTAGTTTCTATTTATTTTTTTCATGCTATCGATACTTCATTACATTAAACATGTGATATTTGTAGGAAGGAACACTTTCACCCCTATCCTGATACTTCTTTTCTGAGGAGGGCTCTTTCTTAAGCCTTTGTAAACTCACATTACAGCCTTTATTCCTCCCATGGATGTATCATATGTTACCTGGTTGCTTGATTGAAGTCAGTGATCCTCCGTCTTGAGTGAGTGGAGTTAATTTCCCCATAGTCTTCAGCACCCAGGGGGATTATTTGATCTGTTTCTCCATCTTGTTCTACAAAAGCCAAGATGTAGTAGGTGAGAAGTAGCTGCTTTGTAAACTTTCTCCAGATGGTTTGTCTTTACTTGACTTTTCTGTGGGGGAGGAGAGAGCAAGGTCATTCTGAACAACCCACTCAGGGCTGATGTTCAGCAGGTGGCCTTGCTGTTGTCATTTTAGATGTCACCATTCTAAACGGTCTAAGCCTTGGCCACATGGTTGTTAACTATGTTGAATATCAACTCTGCCCTAAGTTACATACTCTGTCTCATCCTTTAGAAGTTACAAGAGTGATCCATTTTATTCTCCACTTACTGAGGATTTAATTAGTTTGTTTCTTATTTAGCAACTGGTTCATAACTCAGAGAAAAGAAGTGCTATTTATTGCTTCCACTGAAAACCTTAGGGGGCCATGTTACACGAACCCAGGGATTACCATTCACACTGTCTTCCATGATAAATGTACCCCCGAGCACAAGTATGCAACATCCCAACAAATATGTCAAGTGAAAAATTACCTGTCTTTTAGTACAAATGAGTATATTGAATGGCTCTTTAGAGATTTAAGAATTATTTCATAAATCCACAATTAATTCTGAACATTTAAGTCCCTTCTTTTTGTCCATGTTTTTGTCTTAAGATAAGTTATGTTAAATAGAAATAACTGGAGGCACTAAGACACACACACACACACACACACACACCGTATCTCCTCATGCCACAATTATTCACTTCAAGGCAACAGGTATTAAAGACACTGGAATATGATAAATCATGTCTATTGCTCTGTTCCTTGAGTTTTGTAGGATCTTGAATTGAGGGCACTTGAGAAAGGGAAGGAAATAGTTACATTTGGATCTTGCTTCCTCTTAAGCTTGGATCTGTTCTACACCACAAACACCATCATCCCAAATGACAAAGGCAAAGGGGCTTGTGAACTTAACAGATGGCCTTTTCATAATCCTCCTTCCTCCCAATTGTTTTTAACTGGTTTTGTTTGTCTTCAAAGCTGTCTTGGACACCTGTTTTAGTTCAGTACAATATCTACAAAAATATCAGGAGTTGTGAAGTATACATACAGAGAAATCAGAATGCATGTAGTGTGAATTTCCCCAGTTTCTATACACTGTAAAGAAGACTCTTGTTATAAAAGCACAGATAAACACAAAAGTACGGGGCACACTCTCTGCCCTCAGAAATCTGATGTCCAGTTGGAATTACTGAACACACAAGCACAACATGGTTAATATGGCATGTTCAATGGAGAAAGTAGGGAAAGAACTGAGAATTAATTCCCTTTAAGGGAATATTATCTACTTTTGTTTTGCTAATTGTGCATGTCAACTTTGTAGATCCATATTACCAGAGTAACGGTGACGAGGCTGAACACCCAAAGGAAGGTTTAAGAAGTAATTGATTCAAAAGTGTGATTTAATAGCCAGTGCATGAAACTTAGATTAGGAATACGTGCACGCGCACATGTATGTTCATGTCTGTGTATCTAATCAGTCTATCAGTTTTTACCAGATTATTCTTGACACTCCTAGTTGTTGATACCAATAAACCAGTAGACAGATACACAGATAGATAAATGAAACAAAGCATACAAGTGAAAAACCTGAAAGATTCCACTTACTGGGAAGAAAGAAACCCCCATACTCTCTTTTTGTTTGTGATATAAAGGATTGTAATTATACTCCCGCTAAGGGACTATAAAAGAAAACTGATCACTAACTTAAATCATGTGGCAAAAAATAACCATTCTTAAGGTTAAGCAAAGCCCCTAATCTTACTGTGGTCAACTGTGCAGGGCCTCACACAGGGGAGCTGAGAATCGGATTACAGTCAGACCTGGAATGCTGGTCGACCTTCCTACGCGGAACCAAACAGAAGGTAGAGAATGTAGTGATAATTTACATTCCCTGAGAGTGGTGCCAGGTTTTTCCACAAGCAATACCTGGTTTTCCCAGAGCAGAGTTTCTACACCTTGAAGGTGAACCACTTGAGAATCTTGTTACAATGCAGGTTCCGATTCACCTTTGTCTACAAAGGAGTCAAATAAATTCATTCCAGCAAAGTCCCAGGAGATTGTGAATGCCATTTGGGAAGTTTGAGTAGCAAGGCTCACGGAGCTTTCTGTCTCAGGGCCTGGAATAAAATAATCAGCTCAATGCTTCTGCCGCTCAGAGGCTTTGTAAGAGAACCAGTGAGGGGATACACCGTCTCCATTTCAAGTGTATTCAAATCCAGATAAAAACCTTTACTGATCCATGTTGATGTATGGGACTGGAGGAGACTATGCTAAGTGAAATAAGTCAAGCAGAGAAAGTCAATTATTATATGGTTTCACTTATTTGTGGAACATAACGAATAGCATGGAGGACACTAGGAGAAGGAAGGGAAAAATGAAGGGGGGGAAATCGGAAGGAGAGATGAACCATGAGAGACTATGGACTCTGAGAAACAAACTGAGGATTTTAGAGGGGAGGAGGGTAAGGGGATGGGTTAGCCCGGTGATGGGTATTAAGGAGGGCACGTACTGCATGGAGCACTGGGTGTTATACAGAAACAATGAATCATGGACCACCACATCAAAAACTAATGATGTATTTTATGGTGACTAACGTAACATAATAAAATAAAATAAAATAAAATAAAATAAAATAAAATAAAATAAAATAAAATAAAATAAAATAAAATAAAATAAAACAAAAAACCTTTACTGATGGGGCAACCAAATCCAAAAACTGAAGTATAGTGTAAAAAGAAAAAAGTTAACATTTTCATTAACGTAGCAGTTTTTCAATCCAAGAAAGAATACGGACGTCGCAATTTTAGAAATGTCTCTCATGACCTGTCTCTTTGGATTCTCACTCTCTTGCTTCTTCTCTCTCTCTCCCCACTCCCCCCCCACCTACTCTGTTCCCCTTCCTGTCTTTACTTTGAAGTTCCTATCTATTGACTCCCTGTGGGTCATGCAAATTCCAAGCGTTCAGACTATTCCCATTTTTGCAATTTTTCGGTAACTTTGAAATTATTTCCGAACAAAGTGTTCAGAAAAGGTCTCATGCAAAAAGAATGAAAAGAACAAATTTATGTAATCACAACCCAAAACCATTTCTGCTGACTCACATTATTTCTTCATCATCTGATTTTGCATTTCATACACACACACACACACACACACACACGTATGCATATGTATATGCTTAGGCTTACTTTTTGTATAGGTATATATATTTTCTATATATGTATATATGCATAGATTTACTTTTGGGGATTAAAAACAGTTTCATATACCAAAGGATTGTTCTATGTACTGTTGGCAATATTTCATACAGGGAGGAACTGATTAGTTAAGATTTTAATCATCAGTATTGCTTTCATAGAAATAGAAGGATAGAACCTTCTTCTATCCTGATTCTGTGCCCCATTTCTTTCTTCCCTGGGACATGTTGACAATTATTAGTGCTGATGTTTTGGAAAGTAGGTTAATTTCTTGAAGTCATGCTTCACTTATGTTTATATTACAGTTTTTATAAAATATTATTTTGCTTATCTTTGATCTTTTCAATGATTAGTCCTTTAATATTTTAAGATGTAAAGAAAATAATCACTTCATTTATGCCACTCTCTTTTTCTTATACTACTTTCAATGTAAAGCTAAGCCGACTACAATTTTTTAAGTGCCAAATCATCTGTTGTCAGCAATTTTATCCTAAATGCATCTTAGATTCAATCTTATTCTTTTGGGCTTGGAATTAAAAATAGATTCTGGCTTAATCAGTTTTTCTAAAATTCTTCAATTTAACATTTCAAATCATCTTGCTTCTAATTATTATAAAAGTCTAAGCTAGTGTTGATGCTTTGTTGGCAATAAAGTTGAATGTAAAACATTTTTTTCCAAAGTAAGTGTAAAACTAAATCACTTTAGAGGGAGAGATTTGAAAGGATTGTTAATAGCTTTATAAACACCTCCACAATGTTAGAAGAACGGTGATGAGTGTTTTTTAATAGTTGGGCTGGGAAAGAGAAAAACAGAGGAGATGTTACAATGCAAAAGGGAATTGTTAAATTTGTTTCCAATGATAGTGCAAGCACTTCTCGAAAATAAGCAAATCCATCTCCAGATGTGCCCTCTGTGCCGTGCCACAAAATAGGAGATGCATTAGAAAGTGCAGGAGACGCCTGTAGGTTTGCTCCTGTATATTGGCCTTTTAAAAATAGGCACTTAAAAATTTCAGATGCGCTCTGTTACAGAATTTAGCTCCGGGGCAACTGCCTCTTTGTTCCTTTGCTTCTTTGCTTTGATTGGCAGCTCTAATCACTCTTTTGTGGAAAGGAAAATTGTAATGACATTTGTTCTAAGAAATTCATGAAAACAATTAAATGACTTTATTCACATATTAGTAAAATGAGCGATTTGGATTATTCAGATTTATATCGGCTTTTAAATCCTTCACCGTTCTTTTTTTTTTTAGAGGAATGTGAGCTCAAGCTAGAAATGAGCTTACATTGTTATTTTACTTAATTATAGATAAAGGATATTAAGTAGATTTAGGTTGGTTTATTGTCATGGTACTGAATTGAAGTAGGTTTAAATGGTTATTAGCTATATAGATTTTCCAAGATTATATTAGAAATTGTGGTTTAAATCTTAATTTCATGGCAATAAATTGCATGATAATCATATTAATTAATTTATAATGAGTTCTTATTATATGATAGATATTTTTTATACATTATATCTAATCCTTATAGGAAACTATAAAAGAAAGATATTTCTCTTCATCTCAATATATTTGCATCTTCTAAAAAAAATTCTGGATAGCAACTAAACTAAATATTTTCACTACCCCTTTTCTTCCTCAACCTCCCGTACTTGGTATTCCTTGGATTGGGATATTATCTCCTAGTCAGACTTCCAATCTCCTGATTATCTTTTTTCGTCTTTTGAAGTCTCAGCTTTAATATGTATTTTTTGTCGAAATACTCCTTTACCTCAATAAACTAGG